TCGACAACACAGATCACACACAGCTGAGCAGCGACTAAGCTCTCGACGACTTTTCGACCATTCCATCAGAGACTTGGGACCCGTCCGTCTCTCGACCGTTTGTACCCCCTACTATGAACCCTTTTCGGTACTAATAACACGAGCAGCAGCAGACTGGATGTAGGGACATTCAGCCTGAACCAATATAAACCTTGTGTCCTTTAGTGCACCATCCGGACCTAACGCGTAACAATTATAAATTTACTAGCCGGTGTTTGTTCGAAACACCGACAGTGGGAGAACAGCAAATTACTTTACAATTCTTTCCCTAATCCTGCTGCTAACCCTAGAACCTCCACCATACCGATCATCTTCTTCAGCTCTGTAAACCAAAGACGGCCGAGCGGCTTGGTGAGGACGTCCGCGAGTTGCCGACCAGTTTCGACAAACTCGATGACGATCTGCCCTTCATCAACACAGTCCCTAAGGAAGTGGCACTTGACGTCGATGTGCTTGCTCCAGTCATAAAGAACTGGATTCTTTGCGAGGGCGATGGCGGGCTGGTTGTCCACCATCAGTGCTGGTGGGTGACCTTCCACACCGGTCAGCTCGCCCAGCAGTCGGTGGAACCACACAGCTAGGCACGCCGCTGTGGCCACCGCCACGTCCTCTGCCTCGCACGTGGACTGCGCCACCACCTTCTGTTTCAGCGATAGCCATGAGATTGGAGCCGACCCGAGGAAGACGAGCACGCCAGAGGTGCTCCACCGTACGTCGATGTCCCCCACCATGTCTGCATCGCTGAACACAGTGAGTTGCAGACCACTTCCGCCGGTCTTGGGGAAGATGATCACTAGATCCACCGTCCCCTTGACGTAGCACAGCAACCGCTTCACCGCGGCCCAGTGATACTCTCGGGGATCCTCCATGAAGCGGCTGACGTAGCCCACGGCGAACGCAATGTCCGGCCTCATGTGGACTAGGTAGCGCAGACCGCCAATGATGCTCCGGTAGAGTGTTGCATCTACCTTCACCGCAGTACTAGCCTTCGTCAGCTTCAGTCGCTCCTCCATTGGAGTCACGCATGGCTTGCACTCAACCATGCCACTCTGCTCCAATAGCTTCAAAATGTACGCGCTCTGACCGAGCATGAGCGCCTCCTTCCCCTGTGTCACCTCGATGCCGAGGTAGTAGGAGAGCGCGCCAAGATCGCACATTCGAAAATGAGCCGTCATCTTGCCCTTGAAGCTATGGATGTCCTCCGCACGCGCACCGGTGATGATCAAGTCGTCCACATATATGCCGACGACGAACTCCTCCTTCCCCCATGCTCGCGGGGCCTGCCGTAGCCCGTAGAGCGCCTTGCGTAGTCGGAGCACCCTGTGCACCGCTCCCTTGACGGCAAAACCCAGAGGTTGCCTGACGAAGACCGTCTCCGCTAGCTCACTGTTGAGGAAGGCCGATTTTATGTCTAGGTGATGGACGCGCCAGTCCTTTGTTGCTGCCAAAGCCAGCAGCAGTGGATAGACTTCATGTGCGCTACCGGCGCAAAGACTTCCTCGAAGTCGATGCCCTCGCGCTGGACAAAGCCTCGGGCAATGAGGTGCGCCTTGTGCTTGACAATGGCGCCGCGCTCATCCCGCTTGACCTCGTACACCCACTTCAGGCCGATCGAACGGCATCCTGGAGGTGGATCGATGAGCTCCCAAGTCTCATTTTCCTCGATCGCCTTCATCTCCTCCAGCATCACCCATCGCCAATTTGCATCGTGCTCGGCCAACACGAACGTCGGTGGTTCCTCTACACTGACGAGAAGAAGCTCTAGGTCATTGAGCAGCCGACCCACCAGGCCTGAGGACCCTATGCCGCCGATGATGTCGTCCAGCTTGGGGAACCGTCCTTCCTCACTGTTGTGGAAGGCATCTATGAACTCGGTGATGTCGCTTGGAGGTGAGGCGAACTCAATCGGTGTCGATGGAGTCCCCTGTTCCGCCAGAGTGGTCGGCACAACACGTGGAGTGCTCGGCACCCCGGCTGCAGTGCTTGGCACTACTCCTGGACTGCTCAACACCACTCTTGGAGTGGTTGGCACCACTGTAGGAGTGCCCGATGCCAGTCTTGGAGTGGTCGGCACCACTGTAAGACCTCTCGGCTCCACTATGGGAGCGTTCGGCACCCATCCTAGAGTGGTCAACACCACTGCAGGACCACTCGGCACCACTTCTGGAGTGCTCGGCACCCCTCCCGGAGTGCTCGGCACCATCCTAGGAGTGCTCAGCTCTGTTGTTGGAGTGGTCGGCACCTCTCCAACGTCTCCACCCCCGGCTCTGGTGCTAAGGATGGTATTATTGGTGCACTCCGATTGGTATCACGCTTCAAAGGTCCATCTCTTACACCTTAGCATCATTTGGTAGACATTGTTTTCTCACATTTCCAATCTATGTATATGTGCAAGCTTCTATCTAAACTCTTAGCACATATGTAGGGCAGCTAATGCTACCAATTAGGGTTCATGAAACTTGTCCAAATCCTTTACATATGGTAAAAATTTTTGGGCAAGCAACATGGATTTCAAATGATTTTAATTCATATCTTTATGAAAAGGTTATCATCAATTACCAAAAAGGGGGAGATTGAAAGCTCTAGTTTGGTTTTGGTAAATTGATGAAACCCTAAGTGCTAACCCATTGCTCTAAGTGAATATGAAATAGGGTAGCACATCCCAAGTGGTGGAGCAAATGATGAAGATCATGATGGTAGTGATGGCCATGGAGATGATCAAGTACTCGGGCTTGGAAAAGAAGAAAGAGAAAAACAAAATAGGCTCAAGGCAAAGGTATATGTGATAGTGCCATTTTGTTTTGGTGATCAAGACACCTAGTGGGTGTGATCACATTTAGGATAGATAGCCATACTATTAAGAGGGGTAAAACTCGTTGTCAAATGCGGTTATCAAAGTGCCACTAGATGTTTTAATTCATTGCATATGCATTTAGATTCTAGTGAGTACTAACACCCTTAAAAATATTTGTGAAAATATGCTAACACACGTGCACAAGGTGATACACTTGGTGGTTAGCACATTTGCGCAAGGGTGGCAAAGTTGAAGTTGAGGAGGCACTGTTTTTCAGTGACCGGACGCTGCTCAGACAGCGATCGGACTCAGTGCCTGTGTCCGGTCAGTGTTTTGTAGTGAAGAAGCAGCTAGGGTCTTTGATCGGACGCTGAAGGAGGAGTGGACCGGACGCGCAGGGGGTGCGACTGGTGAACGCTGACGTATGCTGACGTGAGCTAGAAGCTGAGGAAAATGAGGACCGGACTCTGCTATGCGTCTGATCGTGGTCGAGCGGATGCGTCCGGTCGAAGAAAATCGGCTCTGGTACCTTACTGGACTCAACCAGACTCCACGTGGTGGAGCGTTCGGTCATCTAACGAGTGCGTCAGGTCAGCAGCTTCGTCGCAAGGGCAAGCAAGCGAGCAGACACTAGTGCGCCGCGTCCGGTCATGCGTCGCTGCGTTCGATCTCAACTTAACTATGCGGACGTTGGCTGGTGACCGTTGGGACCACGCAGTGGATGTTAAACCGAGGGGACACGTGGCATGAATCCAAGGACCGGACACTGGGTGTCGCTCGTCCGGTCAACTCGAGGCAGGCTCTGTGTTTAGCCTAACGGCTCTATTTTGTGGGGGCTCCTATTTAAGTCTCATGGCCGGCTCTTGCTCTCTTTCTTGGCCATTTCTATTAAGAATACATCCTAGTGAGCATAGCCAACACTCTCTAACTCACCTTGCTTGATTGTGATCATCATCTAGTGAGATTTGAGAGCATCCAAGTGCCTTGCTTTGAGTGATTGCATCTCGAGGCACTTGGTGATTATGTTTCGCTGCGGATTTCGCTTGTTACTCTTGGTGGTTGCCGCCACCTAAACGCCTTGGTGATTGTGAGGGGTTTTTGACATTTCCCTGGCGGAGAGCCAAAAGGAACAGTAGTGGATTCCTCGTGGCTTATGGATCCCCATATTGTATTGATTGTGCAACACCCGATTACGGGTTAGACATGTGATGCTATTAGCGCGTGAACCTCTAAGTGGGTGAATCACAACAACGAGGATGTAGCTTGCCGGCAAGCAAGTGAACCTCGAGGATAAATCATTGTGCCATCATTGTCTTGGGTTTCTCTTGTGATTGATTGATTGTCTCCTGCCACGACGGAATACATCTCACTACCTCTCTTGTATTTACATTTCTAGTGTAGCTAAGCTCTTTAGTGTAACTAGTTTTGAGAGCAAGCTTATGCCTTATCTAGTGGTTAGTGAGGTTCTTTAGCTAGTCTTTGAGAGCTCACTAACTTAGTGGTAGTGACTTAGCCTTTGTGTGTGAAAAAGAGACCATAGCAACTTGAATTGTGGTTAGGTGACTTATATTTTTAGTAGACTAACGCAACACTCACTTCGTCGTTTAATTGATAAATTACTTGGCTTAAGTATTGTTGTAGAATTTTTAATAGGTTATTCATTTCTCTAGCTATTAGGACGTTTTAGGAGGTTGTCTTCTACCTTCAATAAGAAGCTGAACCGCTCCTTTTTAATCCGTAAATTGATGGAGGAAACTTCGTATAGGGCTGGAGGGAGCCCCTACCCCCACCACTACATCTGCCCCTGGTCTCGCATGCGTTACACTGCTAACTTGTATGAATATTTCATGAATTGAGTTATGTGTCAATTTTGTTTCATAAACTCGATTCCTCTTCCAAGAGGATGAAGCCGAATTTATTTTCAGTATCTAAAAAAAACCTTGTATGAATATTTCCCTTTACTTTAGAAGTATACACACATAGGAGCAGATCATACATGGATAGCCGAGAGGTCAACTCTATCTGATCTAAGTTCTATACATATGTATAAAGTGCTATATATACGTTCATATCCGAGCATATACGATGCTTATTGCGTGCATCTCGACGATGACGACGACGGCACGCCGGGGTTCTAGCTGGTGCTATTGCAGTGCAGGGGACCACATCACCACTTGCTCCTCTGCTTCCTGATGAACTTCTCCGCCTCTCTGTCGACGTCAACAGATGGCCTGGAGACCACGTTCAAGAATTGAACCTGCTCGATCTTGTCCACCTTCTGCACCGCAACCTCCCCGCCGCCGGCCGCCCTGTCGGCACCGGTTCCGGCACCGGCGGCCGGAGGAGGGCTCTTGTTGCTCCACCGGAACATCGTCACCGATGATCGTATATACAGTGTATACAGTAGTACACCCGTGCACGAGCTAACGCTTGGGGAGTTTGTTGTGAGCTTGGATGGTGCATGCAATTGGCAACCGGTCGCGTTTATATAGCTACCCGCGAAAGATCTTCTTCACCTCTACAGCCTTTATTAAGAGAGAATCCACGTGTTATTAATTCTCAGGTTTCTGATCATTGCTTTTAGATAAGCTGCTTGTGGCCATACACGTCAGGTCAGTCAACAGTCAATCAGCAGTCTGACCTCAGAAGACTGACGCTTGGGTGCTTGTTGTAAGGGATGAAATAGGGTATCTGACAGATGCGATTCATCAAGCAACTTGGCTACCTTGTCCAAAATAGTGTAATTCCTAGTTCTATATTTAATCAAATTATATAGATTTTACAAATGACTTCATATATTTACGACGCTAGGTAGATACGTAATAAGAATATATTTTATAGTGAATCCTCTTTTCATAGTGATTCGGTGTTATAAATATTAACATGTTTTTTTTATGTAAATCAGATCAAATTTAAGACGGTCTGACTTTAGTAGGCAGTGGAATTGGTTCCGTTTGGAACGAAACGGGAAGGAGCAACCGTGTTGTCATCCCACTCGCTGCTAAGTGAAGTTCGCCACAGCTGCGGCGCGGCATATTCGCTGGACTCCTGCTTTATTTAATTTGGCTTTGTGTAAAGGTCATATTTTCAGTCGTGTAGCGTGTTGCGTGTTTCGTACTTGCACTGTACCGGGGACCACGTAGTATCTAGCAAAATCTTTTTGCACCACAGGCATATATTTCGTAGTGTTGCTTACGCATGTCAGGGCTCAGGACATATCTATTGATCTCACTGAGAAAGTGAGAAGATGTCAGGGTGGAAAAAGATTGTGGAAAAAAATGTTCCAGACTGTGGAAAAACCAAGGGGAAATATGGAAAGAATTGCACTGGAACCTGGCTTCAGTTGCAACTAACCCGGCTGTCATTTTTCTCCCAAAGTGTCCCTTGGGTGCTTAAATCACCATGTGAAAATTGATAAACTAATTCACTGCATGCACACTGCACTAGATTAATAGTAGAGTGGAATCTATACCCCCGAATTAGTTTCGTAGTCGAATCTGATGATTAGATAAGATAATCAGAACGATCAACAACACATCATTTCGACTGATTGCAGCAAGCTGTCCATGAATTTCCACACGCCACTGGTAGAGAACAGATCTTCGGTTTTTACCTTTAGTCTCGGCTAGAGTTCAGCGCGAGACTAAAGGGAGCATGTGTCCCGGTTGGTGGCTCCAACCAGGAGTAAAGGGCCACACTATAAATCTAGCTCCCCCCCCCCCCCCGGTCCAAGCCATTTAAGCTCTCTGTTCTCTTGGTCTCCGGGCGGCTCTGTTCTTGCTCATGGAGGAGTTCATGCTTGGTGAAAGACTTCATTTCGATTCCTCCATCCATTCTTGAGTTCTAAATATTACCAACTTCATCATCTCGTGTTTCATTGCTAATATGGCTCATTTTATGGATTAGAAATAGAGAAATTTATGATTTTTTAGATTGTGAATAATACTGGATTTTTATTTATTTATACGTCATTTGAGCTCAAACTCGCTTGATAGTTTGCATATGTAGAACAAAAATCTTATAGTAGTTGATCAAAATAAGTATCCACCTTTCATAGCTAGTATATATTGCTAATTTCATAGTTTTGAAATTAAGAAATTTGATGTTGTTTAGATTGGAAAAAAATGGTGGTTTTTTTTTTATTTATACGCTATTTCAGCTCAAACTCATTTGCTAGTTTGCATATGTAGAAGAAGAAAGCTTATTGTAGTTGATCAAAACGAGTATCCACCTCTCATTGCTAGTATAACTCAGTTTCATGGTTTAGAAAAGAAGAAACTTATAGTAGTTGATCAAAATGAGTATAGGGTAGATGGTGGATACTTGTTTTGTAGAAATGCATAAATTTATAGTAGTCGATCAAAATGAGTATCAAAACGAGTATCCGGCTTGGGGTACTCGTACTCGTCGGCCCCGCCGTCATTGTCCTCGTCCAGCGCGTGCCCCGGACGGCCTCGCCCACCATGTGCCACCCCTTGCCGTTGGTGTGAGTCTCAGTACGTGTGTGTGTGTGCACATGTGTGGGATGTGTGTGTGCAGTGTTCTGTGTGTGTTGCGTACACACATGTGTGAGTGTATTGACACTTTTTCGAGACCATCAAGCTTCAGGGCAGTCCTCTTGCTCCTGCTTAGGAATCTGTCATCGAGCTGCTCTTTGACCTTGATAGCCCTCTTATTGCGTGGAATGAACTTGTCAGGTGATATTTCCATCACATCCACATCTGGAGAGCATTCAGATCCGGGATAGGCTCCTTGATCTGAGGTGGAAGCAGGAAAGCAAGATGAGACAACAGGCGTGGATCACTGACACTAGTGCTACTTATGGAAGGGGAGGGGGGATATATGTCATGTGGGGCCACACCAGCGCGGCCAGCTGGCTGTCTTCAAGTACGGCCTGTCCGTTAGCGTACGGCCTTGTCGTTCGTAAGGCGCCCCTAGCCTATGGTTCTCGTACTCACCGGCCCCATCGTCATCGTCCTTGTCTAGCGCGTGCCCCGGCCTGCCACGCCCCACCGTCCCCTTCACCGGTCGTATTGCGCCGCCCCTTGCCATCGGTGAGTCCTCTACATCTGCACTGTGTGCGCGCGCGAGTGTGGAATTTGTGTGTGCAATGTTCTGAGTGTGTGATGTGTGTGTTGTGTGTACTCGCCCCTGAGCCTCCCGTTCTCCATCAGCAGGCGCCGGTTCTCGGCCGGCAGCTCGGCGGGCACCGTCGCGCCACCGCACGTGAATCAGGAATTTTTCAGTATGGCCTGAAGAGCGACACGTTCTACGCCATCAGTGCAGCGTTCTCCCGCTGAGCTGCCTTGCTGTTCTGCACCATGGCCTTCGCCTGCAGGAATTTAAGAAAGAAACTGTAACTGTCGATTCTTTGGCTCTGTGCACCTTTTGCTGTACATTTGATCATGCATGCATGGAACGAAAACAGGATGTGTGTGACTGTGAGCTGCATCTGGGAGCGCTGGTTTTTCAACCAGTACTGCGCCTGCCGGGCCTCAAGCCTGATCTTTGCGCCAAGCGCACGCCGTGTTGGCTCATCTGGGTGGTCATTCTGTTGGTACGCACTGCATAGCACAAGATAGATATAAAGAGTCTCACTCAAGCACTGCAGTGCATAGCACAAGACAGATATAAAGAGCTTGGGACTAAAGATCTCTAGTCCCAAATGATGGTTCCAACCGGAATGAAAGGTGTCCTTTAGTCCCTTGTCGTGGCTCCACCCGGGACTAAAGATTCCCGGCGTTTATGTAGCGTCTCATCTTCTTCCCCCCCTCCATCACTCGATCTACTTTCTCTCCCCGAGCCATCGCAACATGCCACGCCTCTTTGTAGTCTCCCACGCCATCCATCATCGTCCCCATGCCTAGCCGGCTTCGCCTCGTCACATCGTGGTCGTCCACGCCATGGCCCCCTGCCTCGAATGTGCGTGTGGCCACTGTAAGGAAAATGAACCTTAGGCTCATTTACTTTGGATTTTAGTGATTGATGACCAACACAACCAAATTGGACTAATGAATTTGCAAGTAATTGTTTTGTAGTTCAATAGGGTGCAAGACGTGACTTGGACGAAGGAGACATAATGATCCCACGATCAACACCATAAGTAAAGACCCTAGAAGCACAAGAGAACACCCAAGATATCAAGCAAAGTCCAAGCACAAAGATGGAAACCAAACCGGACGCAAGATCGCGAAGAAACGAGCTCAGTAGAGGTGACCGGACACGGCCCTATGAGGACCGGACGCGTCCGATCAGTTGCTCGGCAACAGCAGGCGTCAGCAGCAGCGACCGAGCTCTGAGCGAGACAGTGACTGAACGCACGGATTTCACTGTTCATCGTTGCGGCAACAACTCAGTGAGGACTGGACACAGCAGCTGTGGACGACCGGACGCGCCAGGCAGTGGCATCCGATCGAGTCCAGCGAGGTTCTAGAACGGCGAAACGTCGACTGGACATGTCAGATGGTAAGCGACCGGACTCGCCAGAGAGTCAGATCAACAGTGAGCGCCAATGGTCGGGACGACCGAACGCGTCCGATCAGGACGACCTGCGCGTCCGGTCAATGGCAGAAAGCTGGGTTTCGTCCCCAACGGCTACTTTATCCATGTGACTTACAAATAGATCCCCCAACCGGCCATTTGAGGTGTGTAGAGCTGAGGAAACATACCAAGGGTATTGATACACCACTTTAGTGATCTCTACTTGTATAGTGTTTAGTGATACATTCAGTGATTAGCGTAGGTGCTTTGCGAAGTGCTTAGGTTAGTTAGACCACCGCTTATGCGCTTGCTCTAGGTTTAGGCCTAGTGTTTAGTGAGGTTTACACACCTCTTACCACTCGATGCTTGCGCGCACCATTGTTGTACATCGGAGGGGCTTGTAGTATTGCGAGATCACACCAACCACGTTTGTGGTGTGGCAGCCACCGTGTACTGAAGGAAACAAGACCCGCGGCGGTTCGGCCGGAAGCTTGATAGTGAAGACGGCGGGGAGCGGTCCAGGAGAGGCTTGCCGAAAGGAACATCGGAGACCCACTAGCGCGTGGGAAAGGCCCGGGCTATCCATGGAGTTATCCGATCGGGAGCTTGGCCCTTACGAGGGGCTCCAACGAGGACTAGGGGGAAGCTTGCGTGCTTCCCGATACCTCGGTAAAAATACCAGAGTCGTTGACGGGAGTTTGCATATCTCTACCTTACTTTTTATCTTCCGTATTTACATTGCAATCTTGTTTTGTGCTTTACTTTCCTAGTTTAGTGATAGGCTAGTTGATAGGTTTGAAACATAGGTTGCATAACTCCTTTTTACGGTAGAGATAGCAACACACTAGCAAAATCGTAGTTGCACATTTAGATAGTTTACTTTCCTGCATA